AAACGTTGGCAACGACGACATTATTACACACGCGCTGTTGCCGACTCATCTTTTCAGTACTTCAAATAAGACGAAAATCTTCAACTTTGGAAGTTGCTTCTCATCAAGGGCCATGGATGCACTCTTGTATTCGCTGATGGGGTTTTGTATTGTCGTTGCAGCTACAGCAATCACGGGTATGTTTTGTTTCCTGATTCTTTTCTTTTCTTTACCCCCCCCCCCATCAAAAAAAATTTCATTCTCTTGAGCGGCCCTTGTTTCCCAATCGTCTGTTTTAGTCATTCCATCAGTTTTTTGTTGTTTTATTTTCCCCCACAATATTCTCTATTCTATCTGCATCCGATAAAAAAAATAGGAGGCATATCTGTAAACAACGGTTAAAAGGCATATAGGGTCACCGCATTTATCCCAAAAGTAGCCTACCTAATTATTATCAAAAAGCTTTCCTGGATTAAAGCTCGCACTGGTACTAAATCCCACCCTGATTTATTCCGTCTGGCTTGCTGTCATTTAGAAGAAATCAAGAAATGTAGGTGATATCACCCCAATTCTTCGTCATCTCCACTGGCTTCCAATTATTCAACGCATACTGTTTAAAATTCTTCTGCTTACTTTCAAAACTCGTAATGGTCAGTGTCCAACTTATATCTCAGAACTAATTAAACCCAAAGTTCCATCAACCCGGCTACGCTCTTCCACATCCTCTCATCTTCAACTTATGCCTGGTCCTCCAGTGAAAACACCCTATGGTGACAGAGCTCTCTCCGTCACCGCTCCCAAATTATGGAACAGTCTCCCTCCTAAAATTCAAAGTGCCTCGTCCTTAGAAACATTTAAATCTATGTTAAAAACTCACTTATACAAATCTCTGTAATATGTCTTACCCCAATCTGCTGCTTGGCCCACACAAAATTGATGTTGTTTTCTGTTAGTTTCCTTTGTATTTTGGCAACTTTATGTTTGTACACTCCATGTCAGTTAGTGTTTTCTACCTGTAGTTCTGTTCTTTGTATTTGGTGCGGTTGCCCTGTTTCACCTAATAGTCTACAATGACAACAGTAGTCTATTTGCACCGCTCTGTTGTTTCTGGCTCCAGCTTCTACATTGTTCAGGACTGGGTGTGAAACGATTGGAGAGTAGAAACCGGAGCCGGCGCCATCTTCCTGTGTTCCCTTGTGGGGTGGGTGGGTGGGGAAAGCTGTTGCCGAGCCCTCACCAGTGTACTTGCCGACTCAAAGAACCATTGCTTATAGTCGGGGGTCTTAGGGATATTTTGGTTCACATTCTTCCAAAAGCACCAAATTTGGCGCAGATGTCGTCCTTACCATACTATTTGGATTTTTGACGGGCGCAAAGACGGGCGCCCCGCGGGGCCGCCATATTGGCAAAATCCAATATGGCCGCCAATCGGGTCAGAGGTCAATTGAACTAAATGAGCTAGAATCATAAATAATACCACTTTTCAGGTATTTTCGGGGTCGGGCAATCTGAATCTGATGTTATTTTTTAACGATTTCAGGCAAGACAGATGCCCCAAGGGGCCGCCATATTGGCAAAATCCAAAATGGCCGCCACATTTATCACAGTTAAGAAAATAACGAGCTAAAATCTTAAATAATACCACCTTTAATGGGTTTTCGGGGTCACAGAATCTAAATATGATGTCATTTTAATGATTCGAGGCAAGGCAGATGCTCTAGGAGCCGCCATTTTTGAAAAAAAAAGGCCGCCACCCAGGTTGGAGGTACTTGCAGTTAAAACAATACAACTTTTTTTGGGGGGGGGTGTCCAAATATCTGATTCTGATGTTATTTTAATTATTTGATGTCAAGTTTACCACTCGAGATCATTCCGGTCAAACCTGGTGTTTCTGGTGCGTCATTCCATAAAAAAACCTTTTCACATTAGCTGCACATGTCGGACAGTTTGACATTTCTACGTATACCACAGAAACAATCTTAGATTGGAGCGAGAAAATTGTCCTAAGTTATTGTAAGGATGTATAGGCGCGTGTGGTGTGTGCCCGCCATGCTGAGGATGGGTGGAGCTATCAACCAACGGTCGTTTCATTGTCTTCACCACCCAAGATGTTGATCACAGATAACAAAGGCTCAGGGCAACCTCTCACTTTGTGAGTTCCAGTGATATGCCCAAACCGTAAATATCCATTTCTCGCATGAGAACCCTGCAGTGAGGAGGGCTCATCAAGCTTGACTTCTTTGACACATCATAACAGTTTGCAGATGGTGACATCCTCACCTGGTTGGGATACAATTAACTCAGTGCTAGCAAACGAGTCGGCAAAGCCCCATGCCAAAATCGTGATCTACGCCCTATACCTAGAAAAGGCTGCATCCACATCTTATGAGTGCACCGGAGTAACTTGATATGCGACCCACTGAGCCAGTGAAGGATTGAGAGTCGAGTCACTGCGATCACTTTCGAGATCATTTCAAGCTTGTTTTGAAGATCCTCGGCCTATTGGAGATCTTAGTGGGCTTCAGAAGTGGTGAAAAGTACAGTAACATACTAGTCCAAAGCATCTACTCCGATCTCGGTCTGACAAAGTCCTTGGCACCACCCTTCTTCCAAAGCCTAACATGGTGCGACACAACTTGATTTGCCATTTCATGCAGAGCAAGGGGTGTGGTGCAACTGTAGGTGTCAAAGGGGCCAGACATCGCTTCTTCACTACTGGAAGCAGCTTGTCGGAAGCATCCCAGCTACCTGTCGTGCTGTTTGAACATGTAAAGCAACCGCTACTACAGGCCACCTCGGTCCAGGAGGAAATTCCTGACTTCATCGTGTGGGGCTGCCACAAAGATGGTACCAGTACATGGCAATCACTATGGACCAACTCTCAATGATGCTTCAGTGACATGTGCCATTCTCGTGCGCTGCAGCTGCAGGCACATGCAAAGGAAGATTGAAATGCAATCACACTAGGTTTCTATATGCAAGGTCCTCTACAAATGAACAGCTCCATTTAAACGCACACAGCGGCACATAGCATTTTGTCACTGCAGACATCATCTCTAAATATTTAAATGAAAATAGTGCAAACAATAATCTTTATTGATAAGTCCAATCCTTAATGACCTTTAGGGCAAAATGTGACATACAATCTTTAATAAAACAATAGATTCAGATTCTCCGACCCTGAAAATCCATGTAAATGGTATTATTAATAATTCTAGCTCGTTTAATTTTTAACTGTGACTGACCTCTAACTTGGCTGGCGGCCATTTTGGATTTTTCTAATATGGCCCCAACGGCATCCGTTTGGCATCAAATCATTAAAATAACCTCAGATTCAGATTCGTTGACACCGAAAACCCCTCCAAAGTTGTATTACTTATGATTTTAGCTAGTTAAGTTTTTTAACTGCGGTATGTGGCGGCCATTTTGGATTTTGCCAATATGGCGGTCCCTTGGGGCATCTGTCTTGCCTCAAATCGTTAAAATAACATCAGATTCAGATTACTCGACCCCGAAAATACCTAAAAAGTGGTATTATTTATGATTCTAGCTTGTTTAGTTCGATTGAACTCTGACCCAGTTGGCGGCCATATTAGATTTTGCCAATATGGCGGCCCGCGTAATTTTTATTCTTAGGAGGGTTAGGGGCAATGTCATGAATAATTCATGTTTATCCATGAGAACGGACAATGACATCAACAGCATTGTTGTTAGTTACTCAACTAGTTACAATACATTAAAGCATTTTAAAGAACGGTTGTCGTCGAGCTACCACACAGTAGCCTAGTGGATAGCGAGATGAGCTATGGATACAAAGATCCCTGGTTCGAATCCACGTCGTCGCTGCTCATTTTCATCAGCTATTTTTCTTCTCCAAATTTATCACTGAGATAATTTTAAATTAAGGGGAAAATAGAACGAGAACCTAAGTCTTGCAATGATTCAAAGGAAAAACTGAATTATTCATGACATTGCCCCTAACCCTCCTAGGAAAAAAAAATACGCTGGCGGCCCCGTGGGGCGCCCGTCTTGGCGCCCGTCAAAAATCGAAATAGTATGGTATGAACGACATCTGTGCCAAATTTGGTGCTTTTGGAAGAAACTGAACCAAACGGCCCCTATAACGCCCTAACATCCCTGACTATTAGTCAACCTCGAACCCCGTCTGGCAGAGTCGCGACTGATGTAGAATCATCAGTCGCCCTCTACGGCCAAGGCAATGCCAATAGTAGTCTATTTCGGCCGTATTTTCAGCTTAACAATAATATGCGCGATTGGGTAAATCTATTAAAATCATAAAAAGAAATCTCTTATTTTTTTTTCGAAGTCGAAGATGAAATTACAAATTTTCCCGGTCAATCTCAACATGAAGTCGTTCGATTCAATGCCATGCCCATTCAATTTCAAGTGAATTGGAACGCTGACTTCATCTTCATTCAATCGTCGTTCTCTCGACAAAAAAAGTTAATTGTACAAGAGGTTGATCAAGAACTCAATTTGATCGATTGACAAAGATTTTTCCACGTCACAGGTGTGCATTGCATTCAAATTCGTTCCTGTCGAGGGCATAAATCCTGGATTTTGGGTTGGGTGCAGCCATATGGTTGCGAGGGTGTAGCTTGGCTGGTTGTCAAGTTGAGCTAATCCAATTACGTACTTAGACGCTGTAACAGTGCAGTGAAATTCGTGAACCCTCAAAAACATGGCCTTTTGAACGTTGTGTTTCTCAGAAATAATTATGCTCAGAATGATTAAAATGTTAAATTATAACGGAAGAAGAAATTCTAAACTTCATGTCAGTGAAAAAAATCGCCGTCATCGATGCCGAACCTCAATACTGGTTACTGGTAAAGCAGACTTTCAAGTCTAGAAGAAATCGTTTGAAAACGTCCCCATATCTATGTATTTATATCAATTTCTGGTGTCACAGGTTTATCTCAAGCTTTGTCTGAGGACCTATGTCGGTTCGTTGTTAAATGACGGAACTTTGCTCAGAATAAAAATCACACAGATAGCAGAAATTAAAGTTGGTCCTTTCCTCTATGAATTCAATTTGTTATTATTTCATCAACACATCATAAATCGTCAATGTCAACAGTGATTGGTCAAAAATCAATTATAAAAGAATCATCAAAAATCCAAATATCAACGTGTGACTTTTCAGTGGTGTAACGTTTCAAACAACAATGCAATCCAAACAATGGGGAAAAAAACAAACAATTGCAACAAAAGTTAATTGGGAAGACCAAAAAATATCAAAGGATGTGAAAACAATTTACCAAAATCTCAGATCATGTGAATCCAAGGAAACAAATTTTGCAAAGTATTCAAAGTCAACAAACTTCAATTTTTTGTGAAAGTCAAAAGTCAACAAGTATGCATAGGTTCAGCATGAATTAATACAACAAGCTCAATGAAGTCAAACCACTGAAACATCAACACAAAGAATAGCAAACATCAATGAATACATCAATAATATACAACAAGGAATTTTATACAATAGTATAATTATAAGATCTTAGCTGGGTTCAAGCGTTGCGTTGGAACTCGTCTTGATTTGCCGATGCGGTGTCGTACTCGGATGGGGTCCGTGTAAAGCAGCAGCGTCCAGGCGAAGTCCAGCGAACAGTGGTCCAGACGGAGAGGGGTGGTGGTGAGAAGCAGGAACAGGCCGGGCGAAGAATCGAACCGGGTCGACTCCTCAAAGCGTGACCTAGGGACTCCGTGTTCTGTATCAACAAAAGCACGTGGCAAATTGATGCAAGAAGGAGTTAGGAACGTCTCTCACGAGAAAATGACTTATGGGAAGTCCGCACTCGTTCCTAGGCTAACTTATTAAAAAGTGCAAAGGGTAGCACTCTAAGATATTCTCGCATCGAGGTCTTCTTCGCTTCTTATTTAGAACCAACTTTGTATTAAATTACTAACTACAAAAAAACATTAAAAACTGAGATAGGATAAAGTAAACAAAAATACTCTAACAACTAATAAAACTGAAAGTTTGATGATGTTCACCCAGAACATTATTCTAAATCAGAAACAAGTTCGGAACAAGGAAGTGTTTTGTACATGTGCATGCTTGAAACATGAGATTTAGTCATGTGGGGGACAAAGGGCATGATTGCTCACATATTCTCAACCGCAACTGGTCGTAAGACACACTAACTTATCTGAATGGGATGCGTGAAAAACCTTAAACCAGTGATCATCTCGAACTAAAGACAAATATGATGTAAAGGGACTCAAAAACAAATCCTAGACCGAATGGGACTTACACGCACGTATTTTGTACATGTGTGTACACAGAGAAAATAAAAGTTTCACAGCTGCTCCTGATCATTTGGACATGATGCACTCAATGTTTTAGCCAAAAAGACGGTACTGTGCGTGTGGGTACTGACCTTACTCAAGGACACCTAGGGGTACAATTACACAAGACACTCATTCCCGTGTCCGTGGTAACAGACTAGCAAGAAATAGCACAGGTGGTTAAGATCAGAACAGAATCAACGGGACACAATGAACGAGGGATGGCAATAAACGGCCTCATCAAGAGTTTGCTTCAAAATCATGGAACTGAAAACACTTCAACATAAGATTACAAGGAAATATAGAATACACAAATAACACTTGAAGCTAAAATGCAGAATTATCAAGTACAAGTTATATACAACTATCTAACTGACCGAGCCAGTTATTCTGAAATCAGGCAAGGATTCGGGTTACATGAAAAGTGGTCAAAACCTAACGATCAATTCAGTGATAAAAAACCCACATCGTATAACGGTAACGATAAGAATTGGAAAGTGAATAAAAGGATTATAGAGCAAATATCTACACTACAATAGAGATACAGCATACATAGTGAATCAAAATTTGGCAATCAGATTATCATTGGCTGCAACTCATGCTGGATGTGAAGCTGTCGAAATTATCCATAGGCGGGACAATTCTTATGCTATTTCAATCATCAAAATTATATACAAGTAAATTATACAGAAATAAGAGAAACATCGGCTTACCTGTATCAACAAAAGCACGTGGCAAATTGATGCAAGAAGGAGTTAGGAACGTCTCTCACGAGAAAATGACTTATGGAAAGTCCGCACTCGTTCCTAGGCTAACTTATCAAAAGTGCAAAGGGTAGCACTCTAAGATATTCTCGCATCGAGGTCTTCTTCGCTTCTGAAGAATTGAGGTGGAGCAGGGGTTCAACCCATGCTGATCACGCGCTCGGACAGGTTTGGGAAAACTTTCCAATTGGTCAAATAGCTAAAATAATGATATCATCTTCGGAAAAGCCAATCAGAAAAGGAGTAGTGGGCTAACATTCTTGAGGGAACGTGGTCAGCTTGGGATTGACCAATCTGGTCCTCCTTTTATGACTTAATGGTCAGCGTGATCGAACTTCCTTGAATTGAAACAATGGAAACTGCGAACTTTAGAGGAAAAAATTAGATTCGTGGAGTGACGCAATGTCTAAGATGTCCTTCTGAACAGGACGTGGTCAGCGCGGAGGAGGCCCGGTTACTAAGAATTCCAACCACACACCGTGGGAATGGGACAAACAACTTGTCGGACCCAATTTTTAAAATGGTCCCCAATTTAACAGGGTCCGACACTAGGAATTTACGAAAGTTATTATTTCACGAGTAGTTGAACACTTATATCATCTAAGTATAATCCGAATTTCAGCTTAATCTGTTGGTGCTAACGCTTGTGTTACAGCTCAAAATATATGTCTAAGGACAATCTCGACGAGGATTTTTTCGACCCAACCCACTTGCATGGTTTTCATAGCGCCGTAGGCGCTACGGCTGACCAATTTCGGTCTGGCATGACACAATAACGGCGGGTATATTAGCATATTCATTAGCGTCACATGGTCTCTGTATCGACCAATGGAAGCCGGCAAAAAGGGTGATATTTATCAATTAATAACTCGTGAAGGAGGCTTTTATGCAAATTTTTACTGCACACCATAGTGGGTAGTAACCTCATTAATATTTGTGAGGCTTGAAAAGATTAAAAGACATTGCTAACGCCAGTGTTACAGCTTTCAAATACGCACGTGGCCAGGCCTTGTTTTCCAATTTCAACGAAAAGTAAAGAACATATCAAAACGATTTTAGCACATGCTTGGATCATTATAAGGGAAATAAACCCTGAAAGTCGCATGAAGATACGGTCTTCCAAACGGGAGAAATTAATTTTCAAAGATTTCGCCCGCCAACGTGAACATGTGTGTGTACATGTAGTTTCATTCAAAATAAAGTGTTACGTAACCTTTAGAAATCGCCCTTCGCAACCACATGGCTGGGGGGGGGTATTAATCCCCCCCCCCCCGCCGATTTGTGAGGTTTTCTTTTATAGTTATCAAAAACGGAGAACAAACATTACCGTATATACAAAAGCATTGAATGCACCGTTTTGGTGATAAGGGAAGTTAGCATACAACTTATAAGATACATATTTGTATCTTGAACAGCGCCCCTATAGTCTCATGTGGCCTCCACGCCTTTAAAATGTTCGCTTTTCTTGCTGCAGATTGTTTTGTCAGTAGGCCTATATAGTCATGACTTTTCATTTCGCAGCTTTTTGTATTCGTTCAAATCACGGTGAGCCTGAACGTTTTGCAATTTATTTGCACGATCACATTCGATGAAGAAAACATGAAGCAAGTTTATTGAAATATATACAAAATAACTAACAAGCGCGACAAAACACTCATTACTAAAATACCTCTTTTCTACATAATGAGGGTGTTAATATTCAGGTTTGGCAAGTGTTGCAAAACGCGGCTTAAATTATTACCCTTGTGTACCCACCGTGTGGCAGCCCATACAAAATGGTGCCTCATAATATCAAACAAAAGAAAGGTAAACGTCATGGAGTTATCATAAATATTACTCCGTAAACGTCTGCTTTACTTCTTTACGCGCGTGTGTTTTTTATGAATAGTCTTGATTACAAGTCGGTGTACATGCTCCACACGTTCGTCTTTTCATTAGGTGCCTCGGGCAGTTTCTCAGCCAGCTGTTGCACCTTTCGTAAGAAGCCAGATCCGCGCTACCCGATGGAGACCCGCTGGTTCCCGCAAGTGAACGATTCCTCCTGCAGTGAATGTCGACATTTACATCTCTTGCAGAGGATACCAGCTGACTCGTCCTATCCCGAGGATTTCTACAAACCACCTTCGAAAACAGATACAAAAGGTTTTTGATTTCTGCTGTAAATAGACTTCACTCAAGTCGGATTTATTTCGATATTCATAACACCGGTTGCCATCACAACCAGCCCTAAATTCATCACCAGAGTATCATCAAGTGTTGTGTAAAGGGCCCACTAAAACACCGACTTATGCCAAGTCTATATGCTATATAAGAAGCCAAAACAGAAGACTGATCAACTGTCTTCGAGCTTTATAATTATGGAGATAAGAAATGCAAGTAGATCCTTATTATTTTGTTTGGCCTAAGTCAAAAATGTTACTCATTCAATGTGTCAGTGAGAAAAACAAAGAGGACTTTAGGCTGGCCGGCTTGCGAATTTTCTTTTCCCAAACTACATCCACATACATGGTAGATTAGCGCCCTCTACGATACTTTTATAATACGTAGGCAGGTATATAAAAAATCCCCCCAAGGATTTGACGTGTAGTGCGATAGCTAGCTCAGTCGATAGAGTCGTGATTTTGCACCGCAGGGTTGTGGGTTCGAGTCACCGTAACTGTTCCCCCTAATTTTTTTTCTTTTCTAATCTGAGGCTTAATTCGGAGGATTTTTTTAAGGGAATTAAAGTCCGAATTTCATTAGGTTCGAATTCATTTCTTTTTGACTAAATTTATGATTTCTTCTCATGTTTTCAGAAAAGTGAAGTCCAAAAAGCCATAGCGTACACCCATAAAATGCGGAAGTCGTTTGAGAAAAACAATTCGCGGCCCTCCTGGAACCAACAAAAATGAAATCAAGGAAATAGGCCTGAGCACTAACTCTATTTTCATGTTGAAAATGAAGTCTTTTGTTTTCAAACCATGCAACCTTATCTTCTACGCATTGGATTTTTTTTTTACTTGAGAACGTTGACCCGACCCATCTTTAGTCGTTTGGGTTGAGAAGTTTGTCTCCATGATTTCCGATTTTATCTCAGATCATTTTTTTTTTTGCTCCACAGCTTGTGCCGATCCATTAGGAATGGAGAATGGAGACATTCCTACGGACAATCTGTTTGTCTCTGATGCAGGTCCTCCCGGCTACGACAAACGGAAGGCTCGGCTGAATTATCCGGGTAAACTTACATCTGTGACGTAATCAAATCACTGCTAAGCTATAGTATATTCCAACACAACACAGCAAAACAAGACTAACCCAGCCCATACAATCAATCCACCCAGCACAATCCAGTCCAGCCCAGTCCAGCCCAGCCCAGCCCAGCCCGGCCCAGCCCAGCCCAGCCCATGCAGCCCATCCCAACCCAACCCAACCCAACCAACCCAACCCAACCCAACCCAACCCAACCCAACCCAACCCAACCCAACCCAACCCAACCCAACCCAGCCCAGCCCGCCACCACAACACAACACAACCAAACCAAACACAACCCAACACATGCCAACGCAACCCAACCCAACACAACCCAAATTTAGCCAATAATTAGCCTCCCTTTTGCCTATTAGCTGCCTGGTGTGCAAGGCCCGTAGATACAAACCAATGGATCCGTGTCGACTTAGGCAAATCAACTACAGTGACAGGACTCATCACACAAGGAAGGTCCTACAGTGATGTCTGGACCAAGACATACAAAGTCAAGTACAGCTCAGATAACGCGGCCTGGGCCTATGTCACTGACAAAACCGGCAACCCAAAAGTGGTAAGCTGTGGGAATTTATTCATACCACCCTTTTTGTAATCAAAGTGATCGCTTTTGATTTTCATGCGAGGTTTATTTTCTTCTAGTGCTCCAGAATGCTCCAGAATGACATTCTCTACAGCGTTATTAAAATAGTTCTGACAGGGTAAATTTGGAGTCAAAAGCTGTAACTTTAGCAATAATTTGACCCATTCCCCCTTCTTTCTCAGGGTCCAATTCTGACTTTCTTTTTGGTGAACCCGATTATTATATAGTTTCCAGGAAACACGGATGATGACTCTCAAGTAACTGTCTATTTCCCGGCGCCTCTGCACACTCGCTTCATCCAAATTGAACCTCAGTCTTGGACAAGGTATATCTGCATTCGCTTTGAGCTGCTTGGTTGTAAAGGTAAGATTGTCAACTCCTTTTAACGTTTCTAAACGTTTTTTAAACGTTTCTAAACGTTTCTAAACGTTGCTTTACATAATATGTCTGATTTAACTGTCGGAAAGATCCGTATCGAACGCTTATGAATTAAGTTTAGTATGAAACACATATAGCAACTATTAAAGTTCTTTTGCACCCTTTTGTTTTTGTCATTGTTAATTCAAAACATCTTCCGCCATTTCAAGAAGATTCCTTTCTCTTTCTAAATTCCTTCCTCTCCAAAAGAGTAAGACTGCGTGGCCAGGGAGCGCTGAGTGGTTCAGGCATAAGATGCCAGAGCGAAGGGGACAAGGTTGAAGACGTGACCTTAATTAATTCACTATGAGTTTTTTTGTGTGGAACTTTTATTGGATATTAAATTTTGTGCAGCGTGTATATTGTAATCATGCTAAAGTAGTAAAGATAAAGTAACGTGAACATGTGTAAATTGTTTTGCATGACAGTTTGAATGTGAGTAAAAAAAGAAAAAGGGTGAGTAAAAAAGAAAATGTCCAAGTTAGAAAACATGTCAAACTAGACATTTGCGTTTGTCGAGTTACAAACGCAGGGTGATCGGCCCGGGCTCGAAATTAACTATTCATGTGACATTTTCCAGTTAAGTTGTGAATATTTCAATGTCAGAACAGAAGTAATAAGATTCACGAAATTCAGCCTTTCCAGTTGAACCATTTCTTTTAATTTGAAAATGTGATGCATATTTCGGGGTTTGATAAAATTTCAGTACACAGTTTACAGTCTACACCTTATTTCCGGTTTGCAAACATCATCCGTTACGATGTGCAAATTAAATATTGATTTAGTTCAACATAATCAACCCTAATTCCGAGTGGTGCATATTACTATGGCGTCATGATGGCGTCACCACTAGCCACTAGCAGAATTTGACAAGATAGTTTGAACTAGGCCTATATCTTTTGAATTAAGTAGAGTATCGTGTTCGCATAATTATCGTATTTTTCGTGAAGTGTTATGCGGTGCCTTGAGCAACATTTCTAATTTCTGGGCATAAAAACCGTGGCTTGACGGCCTCCAATTCCGGTGTTACCGGAAGTGCAATCAAAACTGAATATTACTCGAAACCAATAGCATTTTACCACAGACATATAAATTATGGAAGTGTTTAGTGAGGAATGCAAACCACATAAAAACACCATAATGACGTCATCACCCAAAAGGGCGCGCTCTCGAGGCACAGCAAATACAGTTAAACTTTTGAATGTTGTATAAACATTTCACAAAATTGCCCTTAGACAACCGCAAATGAATTTGCAGTTTTGCACCATCATTAGATCCCTGTCTAATGACTATTTTCGTAGCACAAATAATGATACCACAATGTTGACCTTGGGCTGTCAAATGCTATGGCGTCATCAAATTGGAAGCTCGGTGTTGTTAACAAATACACTTAACATTCATTATAATTTCGAAATTTTCAAAGGTTCTTTTCAGGCTGATGACCATGTATCCTCTCTGAACTAAATCAGTATTCAATTAGCTCATTTTAACTGATGACGTCATCAAACCGAAAATATGTGTACGTGTACGTGTATATGTGTATCCTGACATTGATCATCACCCCAAAAATGCATTTTGTTGAAAACAAAACAATGGTTGTACCGGAAAATTTCGATGATCCTATTTCTGCTCTGACAAAAATATTCAGTACTTAACTGGGAAATGTCTAATGAAATAGTTGTCTTCCCGATCACTCTGTGCGTTTGTAACTCAACAAACACGAATTAGTTAGGATTGTTGTCCTCTTACCATTTCACTTAATGTTATTTTACTTGTTGTAAAATGAAAAGAAAAATTATAGCCTAAAAGAGTAAAATGTGTGAATGTTTTGCTGTAGAAATTTTTATCTAACATGATCTAGCTCCTCAAAGGTTCGCCTGTTAATTGTTGATGGATACATTTTCGTAAGAATTTTTTTAAATGATAAAAATTTACCACAAGCCAATTTTTGGGGCAGCTGATAAAACATTTCTATGTAGTCGTTGGGTTTTTTTAGGAGACGAACAAAAATGCATGGTTTTGTGGAATTTGTTGTATATATTTTTTGTGTTTGTGTTGAATTCCTGGTATTAAATTATTAAACATGGAAAAAATTTATCATGCTTACCTCGATAAATTCTTAAATTCTCATAATTTTTTCATGATGTTTTTCGTACAACGAGCAATATGAATAGCACATCAACTTAACTTGGGTGACTCGGCGTATTGCATTTATCCCAAAAGTCACATACTTATCAAAAAGCCTACTTTGATTAAACATCGTAATGTTGCCAAATCACCCCGTGAAATCATTCCGTCTGGCTTGCTGTCATTTAGAAGGAATCAAGGAACGTAGGTGATTTCCAACGATCAGTCAATTGACTGCTTTCTGGAATAAAGAGTGGTGTTCACGAAATTGTTCGTGTTTCGTGATCAAAAGGCTTTGCACGGTTTGTCACTGAAAAGTGTAATATCCACTGAGCTGAAACATCAACAAGTTATGTAGGCTTTGAATACTCTTCTTTGGATGTTGTGTGGTGTTATTATTGGAAATGAGCAAAATACATAAAAAGCAAATAATTCATTTAATCGAAGAATGGCAAACGACTAACACCAGGCATAAGCAACGTGTCTGTATCTAAATTGTGAGCTATTTTCCCTGATACAATATGTGAGGGAGGGTGCGGAAAAGAATACTTTAAGTAGAAAAGTAAAGTCATATTCACTGATATTTTCAAGAAAATCGGCCGAGTGTTCCCGGTCCCTTAAACGTGGCGCACTTGAAAAAATCTCGGAAAATCCCAATTTCTTTAAAGTTGAAAAATTCTGATAAACCATTGTTATCTCTACTCCGATTCCCAACTAGATGTTGGTCCAAAACAATTCTTATTTTTATAGGGTTCAATGTGCACTTCAAAAATAAAATCAGAAAATCACGCCATAATCTGCTAACTTTGTAACGGGTATAGGTAAACTCAAGATTTATGAACGTGAATGTTTAGAGCTTGATGCAATTTCACTTGAGTTACTCAGCCATATTACGGTTGCGAGGGTGAAGCTTGGCTGGTTGTCAAGTAAAGCTAATCCGATTACGTACTTAGACGCTGTAACAGAGCGGTGAAATTCGTGAACCCCAAAACATGGCCTTTTGAACGTTGTGTTTCTCAGAAAATATGCTCAGTATGATTGAAATGTTAAATTACAACGGAAGAGGAAATTCTAAACTTCATGTCAGTGAAAAAAATCGCCGTCATCGATGCCGAAACCTCAATACTGCATGGTTACTGGTAAAGCAGACCTTCAAGTCTGGAAGAAATCGTTCAGCGAAAACGTCCCCAAATCTATTTATTTATATCAATTTCTAGGAATTTACGAAATGTGTTATTTCACGAGTAGTTGAACACTTATATCATCTAAGTATATTCCGAATTTCAGCTTAATCTGTTGGTGCTAACGCTTGTTTTACAGCTCAAAATATGTCTAAGGATAATCTCGACGAGGATTTTTCCGACCAACCCACTTGCATGGTTTTCATAGCGCCGTAGGCGCTACGGCTGACCAATTTCGGCCTGGCACCGCACAATAACGACGGGCATATTAGCATATTCATTTAGCGTCACTTCAAGTGGCGTGACTTGGCGTGGGTCTCGGTATCGACCAATGGAAGCCGGCAAAAAGGGTGATATTTATCAATTAATAGCCCGTGAAGGAGGCTTTTATGCACATTTTACTGCACACCATAATGGATAGGAACTTTATTTGTGAGGCTACATTGCTAACGCCAGTGATACAGCTTTCAAAATGCACGTAGCCAGGCCTATTTTTCCCGCAATTTCAACGAAAAGTAAAGAACATATCACAACGATTTGTAGCACATACTTGGATCATTATAAGGGAAATAAAACCTGAAAGTTGAATGATGAAGATACGGTCTTCCAAATGGGAGAAATTAATAAGATTTTGCCCGCCAACGTGAACATGTGTGTGTACATGTAGTTTCATTCAAAATAAAGTGTTACGTAACCTTTAGAAATCGCCCTTCGCAACCACATGGCTGTACTGTGGAATTTCAGGTTAAACTTTTGCTCTAGCATGGCGCTAGAGGCGAAAAATCAAAGTGCGCCACGTTAGGGGCCGCGCCTCTTTTATGGAACATCAACAATGCATTAACATTAATACATTTTGCCTGAATCAAAATTTTGCAACGAGTATGAATAATTGCCGGGGAAACAAAAGGTGTTTTTTTTCTTCAAACCTGCACTTATCTCCGGTCATGGCTTCAGATACAGCTTCATGATTTTACGTCCCTTTTTAAATTTTGGTATGAGATAGCTCTACTATACTCTCTTGAAGTATTTTTAAGAGAGACGAACCTGCAGCCGAAATGATCCCGAGGTTTGAAACCCTGGAGCAGAACCTGCTCACTCCAATTTATAGAGGGCGCTCCCAGTATCCCTGCAGAAATGTTTTGCCATATATCTGGGTATAAAGGGTAGGCTACTTTTAAATTGTGGAATATCCCTTTGCACAACAAACGTGATTGTACAGGTGATGAATGTCTGATCCTCAGACTACATTTAATAGGTGAAAGGTGGCATCGTGTTTGGGATTATTTAGGTTTGATTTGCAGGCATTTCCTAGACTAGGCCTAGGCTATAGTCGGACTCCTATAGTATTAACTATTATCGCGGCGTCCCTATTATTATTATGGCAGTGGATATTTTGCCGGAGACGGCAAACCTTTAGTAAACGTTAGTTTGCCGGATATGCACTGAACATGCGCAGTTACTGTTTTTTTGTACTTAAAACATTTTCCGCTGACAAATTTTATTCTGACTCCATGCCAATATTATCGTTGTAACCTCGTATTCACAAGATGGGATTCAGACCATTTTATAATTTCGGACTTTATTTCCCTTTAAAAAAAATCCTCCCGAGCCACAAATCTGAAAAAGAAAATGTAATACTCTGCAATAAAATGTCTCAGACA